CGGCACTGGTGCTCCGGGCTCCTCGCTGGGCTCCCAGACTCGGGGCAGGCGCGGCTGCGGGCCGCCGTGGGGAAGGAGGCAGGCGTGGAGACAGTGTGGAGGCCCCAGTGCCCTGACACCCCGACACCCCAGTACCCCGACACCCCGACACGGCGCCGGGCTTCTCTGGAGTCTGCCGCGGTCTCGGAGTCGCCTGCCTGAGGTCTGGAAGAGAAGAGGACGTCAATACCCACCCCGCACCGTCAGGAGCCACGTCCGAGTGGCCTGGGCCTGAAGCGCTGGGCGGGTTGCTGGCCTTGAGGGGGTGGGGGGCCCAGGACCACAGGCTTCTGGGCCGAGGTGCCGCTGGGTGGACCCCAGGGTGCACCGCAGCCGGACCAGCCCGCAGGCCCCCAGGGCGGTGCTGTTGACACGGGACGTGACCGGAACCGCAGGGAAAGCCCGTGAGGGGCCGCTGCCCCTGACTGTCACAGAAGCCGGTCTCGGCACAGCAGCGGGGGTGGGGCGGGGCCGCGTGCAGCAGCAGGGCTCCACGCCGGGAGGGCCGAGGGCCGAGGGCCCCTGGCGGGGCTCTGGGTTTCGGACTGCGAGCAGGGGGTCCGGCCAAACCTGCGACTTTGCGTGTTTATAAAATCTGCTCGGGCATGCACGCATGTGGGCGTGCACACACAAACCTGTGTGTGCCCATGCAGACACATGTGCATGCATGTGCACACGCGTCGTGGAGAGTAAGCTGGGCGATGCACGAGGCTGGAGGGAGGAGCGGGGCTGGGTCGTGGGCGGCCGTGTATTTGTTCCGAGGAAGCCGGTGCCTCGTGGGAGGTGGTTCAGCACGGGAGGTGAACAGAGTTAAGGCGACCACCACAGCCGTGGGGTGCAGGGTGGCCGTGAGTCGGGCCGGACCAGAGGGATGGACTGGAGCTGACACTGGCCACTCCCCACTGCTGCCCCCCCGCCCCACGGGGCAGGGGACAGGGCTGGTGTGGGTGGAAGCGTGAGGGTGGAGCGCCCTCTGCTGGTCCTCAGGGTCATCAGGGCCGTGCCCCTCTTTCCACCGTGAGGGCAGGAACCGAAACCCTGAAACCCGGCAGGCAGGAGTTGGGGTGCCTTTGGGAAATGAAAAGCGCAATCAGAACTAAGGCCGTGTCTTTCTAAAGGCCTGTCTGTCTTCTGTCTCTTCACTTCACATTTCCTCGGAGCGATTACCCCTAATCTCTTTCCCGCCCACACTCGACGAGGAGACCTGCCCACTGCACCTGCCTCCGCTCCTCTGCTGCGTGGGCTCCGGGGACCATGGCGACGGGACCATGGCGACAGGCCTGCTGACAGGCAGCGAACTGACTGGTTCGCTCACAAAGCATCCCGGGCCTCAGTCCCGAAGGAAGAAAAGCTATTGTGTTACTTTTTGTATCAAGATTTGCTGTCATGTCCAGGGAAGTGATTAGCACAAGCTGACGAGACAGCAAACCACCAGTGGTTAAATATTATCACGTTTATCCCGCACTCGTGGGTCCCGCACTCTAAGGCACTTCTGACCACACGGGGCTCAATGTCAGCGTCCTTGTCACTCGAGAGTGTTCAACACATTCAGCATTCCCACAGACTGCATGAAACCTTAGAGACGGGAAGGAGATTTAAAAGGTTTTGTATCCTCTACTTTCAAAATGCTTACAATGTGGCCGTTGGGGGAAAGGTCCCACCACCTTCGTCATGGTCCTCCCTCCTAAGAAGTGCTCTCGGGCCCCCGGCACCCAAGTGAGCTGGTGCAGGGCTGGGGTTTGGGCATGGGTCCCTCGTGGGGGGCGGGGAGCAGAGCTCCTGGCGTGGGAGGGAGTGTTGGGCACTCTCGGGGGTGGGCTTAGCTGCAGAGAGGCCCGCGCTCGCCAGCTCCATGGCCCACTCCCCTGGCAGGGCCACCTCGGCCTTGCTGGCTTGCTCTCCGCTCTGGGCTAGCCTTTGGCTCTCTCCACCTTCCTGCAGTCAGGTGTGGGGACGGGGCTTCAGGGGACCTGTCTGTGGACTCCCTCTGGTGACCTGAAGGGGGGTGGCATGGCAGCCGGCTCAGCACAGGGCTCGGGCGAGGCAGCTTCCCCAGCGCCCTGCCTCTCCCCACCACCGGGCACACCTTCCCATCTTGTGCCTGGGCTGTCTCGTGCTTGCAAGGCCGACGGCTCTGGAAGAGCCCCAGAGCTGAGAAGCAAGTAGGGGAGAGGAAGAAGGAAGCGGTCACGTGTTTTTCCAGGTTTATGGCTGAGGTACGGACTGCGGGGAGGGAGGGCAGGGGTCCGGAGCAGAAATGATGCACGAGGAAACAACAGTAATCATCGTAGTCACACACCAGCAGCTGTTGTTACTCAGCACTCGGCAGGCGGCAGGCCCTGCCTTAAGTGTTTGCCGGTGCGGCCACTCGTCACTGTGGCAGCTCTGCCCCACCCAGCTGCGGCAGACCCCGTACCAGCGACGCAGAAGCACCGCTCCTGGGGGCAACGCAGGGTAGGGTCCTCGACCGACCAGTCCCGAACCTTGTTTCACGTGTGTCTGAAGGCACCTTATGTAGTGACGGTTGTTGATTCATTAGTGTTGAATCCGTGGCCGACAGCACGTAATTCCGGCCTGGAAGAAGCTTCTTCAACACACACGTATTTTCTCCATGAAGCCTGCCACAGCCTCCTTGCTCTTCGGAGCAGTAGACAGAACTCCCGCAGGAGGCTTGGGGGTCCTGTTAACAGTGAAGTCACCAACAGAACAAAAGCCTGAAAACACACTAAGTGGACCGTGAAGAGGGCTCTTGTTCACACTAGGAGCGGGGCCAGGGCCACAGCACCGCCTGGGTCACGGCAGCCGGGACCTGTGCCTCGGACAAGTCCCAGTTTCCACTGTTCCGTGCGTGGTCCTCGAATGAGGGTGGAAGCGCCTGCAAGTATTGGTTTGGGGGCTACACGTACATTTGGGCAAGTCGGTGCATTTTCAAATAAGGAACCCATGACTAATGAGGGTCAACGTGGCAGTATCTTTCTTAATCCCCGTAACAACCCGGAAGGTAGGAGACAGTCCCACCTTCATCTTCACGTTTGAGAAAGTAAACGAGAAGTTTGGGTTGACTTCCCCAACACTTCCCAGCTGCAGGATAGGGAGCCGGGACCCCAACCCGGGCAGAGCGACTCTGCAGCTTAGACACATGCTAATTTCACTGGCTCCTCCACAAGGGCTCTGCCTCAGCGAACTCTGCGCAGAAGTTTCCAGGAAACTGCGCTGGGCTCATTTCCTTGTTCAACAGAAGTTATACACCGCTGCCCTCCCCCCTTCTTACACCTTCAATGTGTTTTCCAATGAGAGTTCTTATGCTCAAGGGCAGGGAGAACCAGCTGGACCGTGGGCAATTTCACGTGATCCAACCTCACATGTCCTTGGAAATTCTCTCCCTGCTTTTAGAGTTACCGGTTTATCTCACCATCTTGCACATGGAAAATTCAAAAGGAAAATTCTTGAAGAATTTATAGATAGATGTACTCTTTTATTACATAGAAGCGTAGAGGTTTACTGTTTTACAGAAGATGTGTATCACCTATTTTCTGATCTTTTTCGGTTGCCAAAAGCGTAGGTGCTCACACTGTAGTATAAATAAGTAAAAAACAAGTGTTTTCTGCTGACAAATGCTGAGCATGGGACTCCTGCGGGAGGACGCGTACGACCTGCCTTCCCAGGGGTCTCCCGAGACCTGTCCCCACCTGGCTCGGGTCAGATGCAATCACCGTGCCGGGCAGGGACCAGGGTCCCAGCGCAGCACGTGGGCCTGCGCGCCCGGCGTCCCCAGCGTGTTCGCGCGTCCGCCCATCCCTCGAGCCAGGGCCGCGCGCCCGCCGGGTCCCGCCGGAGGGGGCGCGGGGCAGCGACTGCGCAAACCCGAGCTCCGCGACTCGCGGTGGTCGGAGTCCTCCTGCGGCCCCCGCCCGCCCCCCAGGCTCCCCCGCCGGAGGGCTGCGAGCCGGCGGCGGGGCTCCGGGGCGCATGCGCGCGCTGGGACCGCAGCGACCGAGCGGGGCCGACGCGCCGGAAGCCCCGACCCGGATTTCCGGTCGGCAGGAGGGCTTTCGCGTCCGGGTTCCCCGGTGGGCGTGGACCGCTGACCGGCCAGTGTCCGCCGCTGCGGCCCGGGAGCGGGGCCATGGAGAAGCTGCGGCGGGTCCTGAGCGGCCAGGACGACGAGGAGCAGGGCCTGACCTCGCAGGTGGGGACCCCGCGCGCGCCCGTCCCCGGGGCCGCGGCGGCGACGGTCCAGGGGCGCCCGCGGGCTGGGGCGCCGCCTGTTCTGCCGGCGCCGTACAGGCGGGGGGCTCCATCTGCTTCCCGGAGGAATTTGGGGCCTTCGCACGTGTTCGTGGAGCTCGCAGAGCCTCGCTAACGAGCCGGCCCCCGGCGCCCCGTGGGGCTTTCCGACCGAGGAGCCCGTTTGCTGCCTGTCTTCCCTCCCAGACCGCTCGTCTGCCCCGCGCCGCCCTTCCCCAGCCTCCGCCTGGTTCCCGGCGCCGGATGGGGGGTCCGTGGCGCGCCCCTCGGGCGCAGACCCTCCGTCCCGCGAGCTGCCGGGAGCCCGGGTCCTCAGGCGCCTCGCCCCGCTTTGCTTCTCTGATAGACGCGGTGCTGGCGGGGGGAGGGGCGTGTCTTTCGGCGGGAGGCGGGGCGGGGTGGAGCCGCGGAGGGTCGGGAAGCCGAGACCGAGAACTGGACTGAAGGTTGTCTGTCCCCGGAGGCCTGGGCTCTGACAGGCTACTTCCTCTATGGAGAGAGCTCAGGGGAGTGAAACCGCTGGGTAAGTGCTTTTGCTGCCTGCACGCTGACAAATTCTTGTCTGCCCGTCCCAGAACTGGAGCGTTCAAGGTCGAACAGGATTGCGGAAGGATGTTTTTATCGGCCCCCTTCCTGTCCTAATCTCCGTCCTTGTCGCCTCCGTACAGTGCCTCGTGTGGCTTCAGGGTCCTGGGGGAGTCGGGGAGGTTCCGCGGCTGTAAGACGGGCAGATGCCCTCCGGGAGCTGCTGCGGGCTTGCGGAGTGGAGTGGTGTTACCGGGACCGTAGACAGCCCGGCGAGAGATGTCAGCGGGGCTCTGCTGGGTCCGCCACTTTCGTGTCCTGGGTCTCCGCTATACAGTACGCTGGTCAGAGCCGTGTGTGACTCTATTCCAAAGCGTTCGAGTTCATTACAGTCAAGTGCAGTTGGGGTCATTGGTCGGTGCGGCTGGCCCCCAGGTCGGCGTTCAGTCTGGTTTTGCTGCTTTTCTGGGCCTGGAGCTGAGACACAGCCGAGGCCCGAATGTTGTCAGGCTCTGTGACCAGAACCGTCCTGTGGCCAGCAGACCCGTGGGCAGCAGGCCGGGGGCTTTGTTCCCGAGAGTGTTTCACGTGGGCCGGAACCTCGTGGTCCCGAGGGCTGAGTGCCCAAGGGTGTGGTCGCATGGGGGGGGCACGTGTGGGGGTCACGTGAGTCTGTTTTCCCGCCCCTTGATCCTCCTCCGTGGGGGTGTAAGCCGCCGGTGAGTGAGGAGCCTGGGGAGGGAAGGTCAGGGGCGGGTCTGAGCCCCAGGCCGAGCTAGGGGAGGAAGGTCGCCCTGGGGGTGAGGTACTGCCCCACAGAACGTGTGTGCCCAGCGTTGCCCGCTGCTGGGCACCCGGCAGGGACCTTCCGTTCCTGCTCCCCTGACCGCCCGGGTGTCGGTTTCGTTGCCGGGGTTGGCTGGTGTCAGACGGGGAGGGGAGAAGCCCTGCTCTCATACAGCCGGGCCCCCCTCCAGGATCGGGGTGCACTGGCCGCTGCAAACCAGCGGTCGAACTCACTGACCGTGGGGTGGTGACACTTGTGGGAGAAGTACAGTGGGTGCTTTCTCCCCTCCTGTTCCCCCTCCTCGCGTCACTGGGGACTCACAGTGCCGTTCGGAATCGTTCTCAGGACGTTGTCCCCGTTTCCCAGGAGCACGTAGGCCATGTCCTCGGTTGTGGGCAGTCTCCGGGCTCCGTTGCGTCCTGCGCAGTTAGAATGTGCTTGACGGGCGTTGTCCCGACCAAAGAGTGAAATTCAGACGTTTCTAAAAGGTTACAGGCAAGACCCTTCTCTGTTTAAACCCACGGGTCAGTTTTGCTGTGTAAGAGAGTGACGTGGCTGGAAACAGGAATGCCTGAATTAAGCAGATATTTTAAAAACATTTAAAGCCTGTTAAAAAGTGATGTATGTTGCTTTGACAGAATATTTATTTTTATCTACTTTTCATGCTACGTAAGGATTCACAGATGAATCGACACAGGTAAGGATGTAGCCCAAGATATGCTGAGCTTCTGCATATACAACTTTGTGCTTCCTCGTTCTTGAAAACACGCCACAAGCATGCAGTCTCATATTTAAGCGTGTGTGGTGATGAGCATGAGAAGTTTTCATTTTGGGGTGTGAGCTCCTGCTGGGTGTGTCTAGTTTGCTGGGCGCCAGTGGTCGACGCCGGCGCAGCCGTGCGGGGAGAGCGAGCTCCAGTGGCGCGCGTGTGGTCCTGTGCGTGTGCCGGGCCTCGGTCAGCGCGTGCGGGCTGCCCCGTGTGAGCGAACCCCGCTCCCCGCAGTGTGGGCAGCATGCGGGTGGTGTCCACGGCTCCTTCACAGCCGTGTTTCACCAATGGCCGGGGAGCCGCCTGAGGCTTTCTCGGGCTGGTTAGCAGTGAACTCTACAGTCGCCGTGTCTAATGGTGGACACTCCGTCAGGACTAGGTGGCCCTGCCCCTTTGCGTACCTTGGGGCCCCTGCGGCCAGCTGCACTCCCCCAGCCTCCAGCCAAGGAGCCGTGGTGGGAGGCGGGGCCGAGGGGCCGGCCCTGCTCAGGCCTCCCGGATGCTGACACCGAAGCCCCACGCTGACAGCCCCACGCTGACGCTGACACGCAGCTAGAGCCTCCTCTGCGCTGGGCTCCTCCCCCTGCCGTTCCCCGGGGCTTCCTGACGCAGTTCCTGCGCGAGGACCCCATCACTGAGCCTCAGCTGCCTGGACAGACGAGGCGCCCATGCCCCAGCCTCGTCTGTCAGCGTTTTCTTGTCGCGCTGCCGTCAAGACCGCCCACTGCTCCACAGCATCTCGCCCCCTGGGTCACTCGTCCACACAGGGGTGTCTGCGCTGCCCCTGGCGGGTGGGGGCTTTCTGGACGTGAGCCCAGGCCCGGGTCACCCCTGCCGACAGCAGGGGTGTTTCCTCAGGGCCACCGGTCCCCGGACCGTGTCAGTGCCCCCCTCACAGTCCGGGGACCCAGAGCGCGGGGCGGGGGCCTGCCTGGCTCCCTAAGGACGCGGCTGCTCCCCTGCAGGTCCTGGACGGCGCCTCCCTGAGCTTCAGCACCAGGCTGAAGTGGTTTGCCATCTGCTTCGTGAGCGGCATCTTCTTCTCCATCCTGGTGAGTCGGGCCTCGTGTGGCGCGGCCGCCTCCGTCCTGTCCCCGTTACTGCCTTCCCCGGGTCCCTCTGAGACTGGCGGAGGGGCGGAGGGAGGGCAGGGCGGGGGTCAGGACGGAGGGGCGGGGAGCGGGGAGCCGCGCTGTTTCAGAGCGGTCGGAGCCCGAGGGGCCAGGAGGGAGGGCGGGCTTCCCGCACGCGTGCAGGGAGCCCCGGTGTGGCTCGTGCACACGCGCCCACGTGCAGACAGACACGAGGGTCCGTTAGCCCGAGATGCGGAGAACCAGCGGCCTGAAAAGGTGCGATTAGAGGCGACACACGGGGTCCGGCACACACTGCGCCCCTTTTTCATTCCAGAACCCTTTATTACAAGGTCACAGGCGTGTCGCTCTGTGCCCGAACACTGTCCCACTCAGGCACACCCGTGACGCTGTAGGGCAGCGCTCAGATCACCACTGGGAATGACGGCACCCGCGCCGTCGCTGGGCTGGCCGCCCTGCAGGTCCAGGCCCCGTGTGGCGAGCACACCCACGCTCGGAGCCCACGCTGCGGCGGCGCGCTTCCCGGCGGCCAGGGCAGCCCGCGGCCCCGGAGCCTTCGCGGCAGTGCGGTGTGTGACGCGACTGTCTCCCCGCAGGGGACCGGGCTGCTGTGGCTTCCGGGCGGCATAAAGCTCTTCGCCGTGTTCTACACCTTCGGGAACATCGCCGCGCTGGCCAGGTGCGTGCGCCTCCCGCCCCTCTCCCCGTGAGCGTGCTCCTCCTGGGGTCGTCTCTGCGGCTCTGGTCTGCGGGGGGCGGGGGGAGCTAACTTCGCCACAGAGCCCGTCCCCGCCGGGTCGTCGAGGGGCGTTGGGCCCCTATGTGGGCCAGTGGCCGCAATGCGGCGTCTTGGGGGAGCATGCCGGGGCCTCCACAGCCCAGCGAGGGGGTGGGGGGGGGTGGGCGGGCACTGCCCCCCCCACAGGGAGGCCAGAGGCAGGCTTCCCACCGTACAGGTCTCCAGAGCCCCCATCCCTCCCCGCTCCGTGACGCCTGCGACCCAGTTGGGAGTGGTCAGGGGGGCGGGGCCGGGGTGCTGCGCGGGGGTCAGGGCAGCGACAGGGAGCACGCACGTCACTGGACAGCACCGCCATCCGTCCGTCCGCCCTCAGCCCTCCCGTCTGCCCCCACAGCACGTGCTTTCTGATGGGGCCCGTGAAGCAGCTGAAGAAGATGTTCGAGAGCACGCGGTGGCTGGCCACGGTCGTCATGATGGTGAGTAGCCGCGGGGGCCGGGAGGCGGGGGCCGGAGGGAGTGCTCTCTGCCTCTCTGGTCTACGTGCGGGTCCCCGCCCGCTCTCCGTGAGGGCCCCGTCTCGTGGCTCCTGCTGCCCTCCCGCTGCCGGTGGTGGCGGCGACGCCCTTCCAGCTGCGGGCTGAGGACGTGGGCTCCTGGGCCGCCTGCACGGCCGGCGGGCTGGGCCACGGCCTCGCCCAGGGCTCCTGGTCTCCAGATCGCTGCCTCTGGCCGTCGCCGCCTCCCCCGGGACTGCCCTGCCTCCCCGGGGGCCCGGGTGCACGCTGGTGACGCGGCCCTCCGTGTGCAGGCCTCCCCGGCCGGCTCCTTCCTCGGGGCCGGGCAGACGGGGGGACTCACCGGGTGTCGTGTTGGCGGGGGCACAGCCACGGTGGCTCACAAGAGCAGCGCTGTCACGGAGTCACTCCCCGAGCGTCCTCTGTGTGGACCCCCCCATTGTGGGAGGTGGGGGGGCCGCTGCAATCGGAGGCCTCACTGACGGTGCCCGCAGCACGCTGTCCGTGCAGATGCGTGTGTGCGTGTGTGTGTGTGCGCGCTCCCGGGCTCTGAAGGGACGTGGACTCACAGGCCTCTCTCTCTCCCCGCCCAGCTGTGTTTCGTGTTCACCCTGTGTGCTGCTCTCTGGGTAAGTGCCTCGGCCGGGCCCGCGTTCCGCCGGCTGCGCGTCACTCCAGAGGCGCTCGAGTCTGGCTCTTTAAAACCCGCCAGAGACTGGGGTCCCTGAGGCGTATGGCGACATTACTGGGTGGCCAGACTGGCCGCCCGTGGTGCGCGTCTGCGGTGGGCAGAGCGGGTTTGCACTCGCTCCTGGCTCGGGCTGTCCGGGCTCTGGCTGTGCTGAGAGAGGCTCCGCCCTCGGGGGGCGGGGCAGCCGCCCGGGGAGGGCCCCCCGGGCGGGTGACCGACACCAGAGCCAACCCGCTGGCAGGAATCACGCCCCGGCCAACGCACAGAGCCTGGACGGGGGCTTCGGTTAACCCCGGCCCCCGGGGCCTCTGCAGTAGGCCCACGCACAGCCCGGCCTCCCCTCTGCGCCCCCCGCCTGCTCCCCGGAGGTCTCCAGGCGGCTGGTGTCCGCCCCGAAGGCCGCAGGCTGCGGAGAGGGTGGCGCCACGTGTCAGAGTGCCCTCCCAGGAGAGGCTCTGACGTCCCCCCCTGGCTGCACGCCCGCGGTTCCGGAAGGACCGTCCTTCAGTTCCGGGAGAACGTTCACCTGCGCGTGCTCCCGGGGAGGAGCCACGGGGACCGGCCCGAGAATCTCGGCACGTCCCTGTGGCAGACAGGGTTTTGGAAGGGGCTAGCAGCCTGTTTGTCTATAAGCAGTAGATGAAATAGGAAGTTAAGTAAATGAAAATTTAAAATAGACAAGGGAGTCTGAAACTACATAACTTTAAAAATTGTGGAAACTGTATTTTACGTTATCCCAGCAGATCACAATAGAGTCAGCTCTCCATCAGCAGTAGGAAAGGGAGCGAGTGAGGAGGAGTGCAGACGGGGCATTCTCGTGGGGTGCGGGCCTGACCGCTCACTGAGCGGGTTGTGCGTGCCGGCTCCAGGGGCGGCGACCCCGGCTCACCGGACCCGGCGCTGCAGAGCCTGGACATGTCTGGCCTGAGCGCGGTCGTTCAGCAACGTTCATTCAAGGCCCTGTGCTGGGCGGCATGCGACTTGGCGGGCACAGAGAATTTTGGGGAGGAATCGTGCCTTATGGCTGGTTTCGCTTTACGTCTGCTGCGTGTTAAGTCTGTCCCACTGAGGGTTAAGGGAGGGGGCTGCGGTCTCGTGCGCCTGAGGGGAGGAGTCAGCCGCGGACGTGGACGGCGGTGCTTCGGCAGCCCCTCGCTCACCCTCCCCCCCTCTCGCTGCTGCAGTGGCACAAGAAGGGGCTGGCCGTGCTGTTCTGCGTCCTGCAGTTCCTGTCCATGACCTGGTGAGTCCGCGCTGGCGGGCCGCGCCGTCGGCACGCATCCTGCGCCGTGTCCCGTGGGGCGTACACAGGGCTCTGGGTGCGGGGCAGGGGGTGGGGCGGGTGCTGCACGGACACAGGGTCACAGGGCCCCCCCGAGCCTCCCCTCGTCTCCTGGCCCGTGGGGGAGGAACGGCGGGATGTGTAGGCCGCGCCGCGTGGGTCCGCAGAGGGAGGCCCCGCCCCGGGGGCCCGGGGAGCGTGGGCCTGCCGTGCGCTCGGCACTGACCCCGCCGCAGTCCGCGGTGACGGCCGGTCGGGGTCTGCTCCTCTGCCCCCCGCGGGCCTTTTCCACCCCTCGGGACACGTCCCGTCCAGCTGCGGCGACAGGCCCCGCGAGTGCCCTCCTCGCCCGCCACCCTGTCGCGCCGGGAGGGGGTCCCCACACGCCAGAGCGTTTCCCTCGTCTCCAGAGCGAAGCCTCGTCCCTTCCGTCCGCGGTCAGCAGGCCCGCCCTGCTGCGCGTTCCGCCCCCGATGAGCGTGCCGAGGGCCGTGTCCCCGCACTTCTCTGTGCTGCGGAGGGGCCGTGAGGAACGGGGCGGGGGGGGTGCTACATTGAGTCCCTCGGTCGTTTTCTGTGACTTGTCGTTTTCTATGTCATCGTCCGCATGTACTGATGGGTTCACCCTGCGGGGCGGGGCGGGGGGCACGTTTCATTCTCAGCGGTCTGTTTCTGTTCACGACGGCGACGACAAGGACCTCGGAAGGGAACCCTCTGCGCCAGGACTCGCCCAGACCCCGGCGTGCACCAGAGTCGCGTGTCGAAGCGCGGCCCCTCCCCCGGGAGGCACGCGGTGGGGCCCGGTGACCGCGGCGCCCGGGGCCCCTCGGGGAGGGGACTGCGCGGCGGTGCCGGCGGGTCTCAGCAGCTGGGCTTTCTCTTGCAGGTACAGCCTGTCCTACATCCCGTACGCCAGGTGAGCTCGTCGGGCCCGCCGGCCCCGGTCCCCCGGTTAGCTCCGCGGAAGCACGTCTGCGTCACCCGTTCTCACGGGGGGTGCTGCTTAACGGCCGCTGTTGGCTGCCCGTCCTCTCGAAAGGACACGGTGTCTTAAATGAGGGGGGCAGAAGGATGCCCTTTGAACCCGCGGCCCAGAGGGGTGGGACTCGCTGCCGCTTTACCCCCTGACCCCTCCCTCGAGGCTAGGGAGCTTTGGTGAGAGATTCCGGATCCCTCCGTGATGGTAAATGTTCAGCAAACAGGACGTGGAGACTCCAGCAAAACAAATTCCACGTTTTTTTTTTTAAAGTTGGTGAAAAACTGGGTTCTGATACATGAGTGCTTGTTTTAAGCCAGTAGACACATCGATTCTGTGTGTCAAGAGGAAACTGCCATTTACACTTTTCAGAGAAATGCACTTCATTTAGTCGTGGAGGGAAAAGCAACACTAATTCCAGTCTTAAATCCGAGACTCAGGAAACTGCTCTGTTGAGGCACAGCTTTGCTTCTGTGTGAAGGTGGAAACAGGTGGTGCGGGGAAAGCAGCCAGGCCGTGTGCCTGACGGCACTGAGGGAGAGCGGGGGATCCTGTCTGCAAGGGGCTTCGGGCGGACAGTCCTTGCTGGTGCGCACGGGGAGGAGCCAGGGCCCAGGGCGGCGCGCGGGCTGCGGCGCAGGAGCACCGGGTGCCTCTCCGTCCGTCCGTCCCTGGGCTTCGCTGGAGACCTGCCGCCGTCCCCAGCAGGGGCGGGTCACCCGGACGGGGGTCAGCTGATGTCCCCTGCCGAGGGCGCTCACAGCCACGGCCAGGCTTCCAGAGCGAGGCCACCCCCAGGGTGCAGGGCCGCCCGCACGCCCACAGGGCGCCGGTGCTGGTGCTGGTGGCCCGCACCCGGTGCTGCCGCGTTTTAAGTGCGCGTGAGCGTCTGCGCTGTCGGCATGCGGGCAGGCTGTTCGGGGGAAAGGGTCAGAAGGCGAATGAATTTCATCACATGAGTTGTTTAAAATTGTTAGTAAGTATGTAGTCACAAACATTTCGCTTTTTAAAATCCAACCTGCTATTTCTTTTTAAAATTAGTTCTTTTGTTAGGTTGTGTTTGGCGTTTAAATTTCTTTCTTTATCATAAGATGAGTGTGTGTGCAGGGAAAGATTTCATAAAATGGGTCATTTCAGAAAGTAAGAGATTGTTCCCAACCCGGTTCCTCATTTCACGTGACGCCGGGCGGAGGCGCCGGCCGCGCCCGCCGAGTGCTGGGGGCAGAGCCGTCACGCCCAGGGCGGGGCGGGCTGCGCAGGGCGGTCTGCGGGGGCTGCGGGGGCTGCGGGCGGGCAGGCGGGCAGGCGGTCACGTGGCCCTTCCCGCCCCTCCCCTGCCAGGGACGCCGTCCTGAAGTGCTGCTCGTCGCTGCTGGGTTGAACACCGGAAACTCGTCGGAAGGAGCGTGAGACAGCGGCTGCTCGGTGTCTGGTGAAGCGTGTTTTTTTTTTCCGAGACGGCGCTGGCGCCCCGGCCCTCCGCGGTGACGGTGACGGCGACGGCGGGGCCCCGCTCTGCGCTGGCGAAGCTCCGTGCGTGCGTGATTAAACTGCTGAATGCTTGTAACCTTCGTGCGCGATGTGTCCTTAACGCCCGTCTCTTCCGAAGACCGGAACCTTAATCGGTGCCGGCCGTGAGTGATTTCTGGCCAGTTCTTTAATCTTCTCTAAACAGCACCTGAGATGTGAATATTTAAGATAACCTGTGCTACCTGGTATGTGTTCACCTTTTTTGGCTCCCTTAAAACGTCTAGATTTTTTAAAATATTTTTTTAAAAACTTTAAATGTGAAAGTTTTTACTTTAAACTAAAAGTTGCTTATTCTATGTAATAAAAATAATATATAAACCTTTACAACTTTGCAATAAGCCCGTCCTTGGAAAAGTAACTCTCCCTGGATATCAGAGTTGCAGCCTTCTCGGAGGGAGGCCCTTGGGTTCGGCCTCAGGGCGCTTCCTCCAGGTGCTGCACCGTGCGCTCGTCTGCGGGAGAGCGAGGGAGCCCGAGGGAGTCGCGGCCTCCAGCCTCCAGCCTCCGGCCTCCGGTCTCCGCTCTCCGCCCTCACCGTGCTCCCTCGGGTGCTGTCCATGCCTCCGTGAAAGGGGGCGGGGCCGCGTCACCGCGCGGGCACTAGGAAGGGCGGCGTTCAGTGCGGCGTTCAGTACGCCCTCCGGCCCCGCACGGGGGTCCGGGGGCGGGTCTGGTCCGGGGGCGGAGGCATAGCTGACGGCGAGGCTGGCAGGGAGGGTCCAGCCACTGGTGCCCCAGGGCGGGGGGAGCAAGGGTCGGGGGGTGCCTGGCAGGAGCCGGGCCCCTGAGGAGCGCCTGGGGAGGGGGGGCTGGAGCCTGCTGGAGGGCAGAGAGAATGGGACGGTGTCTCGGAGGGGACCCGTCCAGAGGAGACCGTGCGGGAGAGGAGGGGGTGCTGGGGCGGGGTGGGCGGGCAGGCGCGGGAGGAGCCAGGTGGGCCGCGGTTGCTCTCCGCACCCCCCTGCCCTCGGCGCCTGTGCGCTGTCTGGCTGGCCGCTGTCTGGCAGCCAGACCGGAGCGGGGCCACAGCGACCACCATGAACCTGGGCGGCCAGGGGGCAGGGGTTCGCAGAGGGCAGCGCGGATGCACCACATCCCGGAGGTGTGCCCCGTCTGCCGGCCGGAGGCCACTGTTGCGGTGAGTTGGGGGCGGGGCGTGCCTGGAGCATGTGGGCGCGTTGCTGCGGTGCGCCGGGGTCCCGGGACAGAGCGTGCGGGGGCTCCGGGCGGAGGTGTCCACCATGGGACGGGGAAGGGCCCTGGCGGAGGGGCTGCTGAGACGGTGCTGGAGAGTCGCCTGGGGCCGCCCGAGGCGTCGTCCTGCAGGGGCTCCCGGCTGCCCTCTGCCCCAGCCCGCCTCCAGCAGCCGCAGACTCGCCGGGGGCGGGTGACATTCTGCGCCAGGCGTGGCGTGCATGTGCCGTGTTGGGTTTCGTGCTCACGGGACCCCGCTGTGGCCGTGAGGGCGCAGGGTCCCCGGGGAGCCCCGGCCTGGGCGAACGGGGTGTCCCGGGCTGCTCCGTCTCTCGGCAGGCGCAGGAGGGCTGTCTCGGTGGGCTCCAGAGCCTCTGGCTCAGGGGCGACACGCTGCATGCGTGTCCCCAGCAGGACCCAACGCGTGTGCGAGGCCTCCCACAGCCTCTCCCCCGGGTAACTGCTCCGAGGCTGGCTGAGCCGCACACGCAGAGCCCGCGGTGCGGAGGGCCGGCGGTGCTCCACTGCGCTTTCTGAGCGGAGAGCAGCCGCTCCCCGGGCCTGTGGCTGGCCCCCGGAGCGTGCGCTCTGTGCGCGGTGGCAGCAGTCCCCCCTCGGGCCCCCTCCCAGGCTCTCCTCCCGCCGCAACCCCGAGGCGAGGGCGCCCTGCCCCCTCTGCCGCCCTGCGCACTCGCAGACCTGCTCAGAGACCCCGCCCCTTGTCCCGATCTTTCTTTGAAACGACGGTGACGCAGTGGGTTGGTTGGTAATGCAGAATGTTTATTGCTGTTTTCAAGTGTATCCGTGAACTCGTTTTTAGAGTCTGGGCTTTACGTCGAGAACGGGGTGCGCAGCAGCAGCCGGAGCCGCAGAGCCGAGCCCCGCGGGCCCTCAGAGTGCGCCGGGGTGTTGCGGGGCGCTGGCCTCGGCCTGGGGGCCGGCCCCGGGCTCCTTGGGCAAGCCTCGGTCTCCGTCTGTGAGGAGCCACGAGGCCGCCATGAGGGGATGCAGGTGGAGGGGGTCTTAGCTCCACTCTCACTGGGGGGCGGCCCACCTGCCCCCCAGCCGCCGCTGCCCGGGAAGCTCACGTGGGGGGCCGGGAGGCGGGGCGGGGAGAAGCCTCCGCGGCCGGAACTCAGTCTCTGGGTGTCCGCCCAGCCGGCCCTCAGCAGTCACCCCCCCCCCCACGTCGGGCCGTGCCCACGGGGGACGGTGTCTGACCCCTGCCCCTCACCGCCAGGCCCGCTCCCGGCGGACACCGTCCACTACCAGCCGCCCTCGCTCATGTGCCCGGGCCCCTCCCCCCAGGGTGAGCCCTGGGGCAAAATGCACGGCGCTCGCTCTCGGGACCTGGGGCAGACCTCCGGTGACCCGGACTGCGTCCGACACACCTGGGCAGCGGCAGAGACAGCGGCCCGCAGCTGCGGCCCCCTGAGTCACCGGAAAGTTCCCGTGGAGGAACGTTCGCGCTCCACGCAACACTGGGTGCAGATTCGCAGCTCTGCTCGCCCGGTCATCTTGACGGTGCACGTGCTCACTCGGCGGCCCCCGCTGACCAGGGCGGCGAAGCCACGGTTCATGCGTGTGCACAGTCCAGTGCACCCCTCTTGGCTGCGGGGTCACGCCGATGTCGTGCAAACCGTTCCTGGTACACTAACAGTGACAACCCTTCCGGGACACGCGTCGTGGGAGTGGACAGTGGGGACGCTCTCACTGGGAGCCACCGCTGCGGCAGTGAGGACCCCGCGTTGTGGTCCGGGAGGGGACGCGCTGTCGGGTGTTTCCAACGCCCTCATCACGTTGCTGAGACGACCGCCTCGCCTGTGCGCAGACGGCTGGGCTTTGGTTTGAAGGGACTGTCTTTCAGCCGCGGCGCTGCCGGTCCGCAAAGTAAAAGCTGCGCGGTGCGCGGAGGTGCCTCTGCCCGCCTGTGTGTCCCGCAGCCTTCCCTCCGCGGGGTACGGGGGTGCGGGGCGCAGCCTTCCGGATGCGCTCGGGAGCCTGGGGAGGGTTCTCCGCCCCGGGCAGGACCCTCCCGGGACAGAGGGCACGCCCACTGCGCGGCCGGCCCCGCCTCTGCCGAGCGGCCACTGGCCCTGCCGGTGGCCCCCGCCCCCACCGTCCTGCCCCGCGGAGTCTCCCGTCTCCTGGATGCAACCGCCGCGTCCCGGCCACGGCTCCTCCTCTCCAGAGGGTGCAGTGGGCGGCGGTACAGCGGGCGCTGGGGGCCCTGCTGGGGGCCCGGGGTGGAGGGAAGAGACGGGTCCTAGGCTTCCCGGCTGCCTTCCGGGAACAGGGAGGGGAGAGAGCGCAGACGCGGCTGGACGGAGGGGTGTGCGGAGCAAGAACAAGTGCTGGCCCCGCCCCCCGACGGGGAGGGTGCCGGCTCACACCCGGCGGACTACAGGCCCCCCATCCTCGTCCTCCCAGCGCGCTGGGGCTCCGCAGGCTGGGCCGCGCCATGCCGTTCCCGCCGCCGCCAGCCCCAGCCCCGCGGGTCTCCGCCGCGCGCCCGCCGCCCCGCAGGCCCCGGAAGACGGCTGCGCCCACCTGTGCGCCGCCCGCGCCCGTGCCGCCCGCTGCCACCAGGGAGACGCAGCGGCCCCCCGCGCGTCCCGAAGCACTGCTGTCCCGCTCCTGGCCCTCCGCCACCCTGAGGAAGCCCCCTGCGGGCCGTGCCCCCGGCCCTGCCCCTCGGCGCGCCCAGGGCCCGGCCGGCTCCAGCCCAGGCCCCGCGGGGACCGCGGACACCGCTGCCTTGGGGCCAGGGCGTGAGGCCGCCACGCGCTTCCCCCTGAACCTACCCCCGGAGGCCACCCCGGGCCTTCAGAGACGCCACCTGGAGCAGCAGTTGCGGGTGCGGCCCCGCCGGCTGCTCCCCGCACCCTTGGCCAGCGCCACGCTCCCGCTGGGCCCCCAGCCCGGAGCCAAGGGCAGGGGTCCGCGGAGGGGAGGCGGCCCCGGAGGCCTGGATGCGCGCCTGCCCGGTGTCCCGCTGCCCCCCTGTGGCCGGTGGGCCGGGGATCCCAGCCCTAGGCCAGCCCACCTGCGCCGCGTGCTCAAGGTGTCGCTGCTCAACGACCGGCACAAGTACGACGACGTGGAGTACGAGGAGGAGGCCAAGGTCGTGGACGAGGACCTGGTCCGCAGGTGCACCGAGTGGCTGCGAGGTGTGGAGGCGGCGGCCGCGGCGCGCAGCCGCACCCGACCCCTGGACCTGCTGCCGCACCTGAGCACGCTGTGAGCGGGTGCTCGCCACCGTGGGCACTGGCCGGACTCCTCCCAAGCCCACTCCCCGCTTCTGGGCACCTGTGACCCAGGTGGGCCTCCTGGGGCTCTCTGGCCCTGGGCACTGGGGAGCGGGCCCTGCCGGGACTGGGCGGGCTCACCCAGGGCCCACAGCCCACGCCCGGCCGTGCTGCCCCACCCGGGCGACCTCGTGGGAGACACAGCCTCGTCCGACGTCCTCTGCACCCGCCCTGGCTCCCGCGAGCCGAGCGGGCCCCTGTGGGACACAGACGACCTCCCCTGACCCCCGGCCCACCTCCTGCCCAGCCGGTTTCCCTCCCCCACCCACCCCCACAGCCCCACACCCCAGTTCTCTGCCCTCAAGCCGGCCTCCCGCACCCTCCTGGCCCAACTCTTCGTGCCCACAGGTGTCCTTGTGGCCCCGGGGGAGAAGGCGGTGGTGAAAGTGCCTCTCAGCCCCCCACCCCTTTCTTTGAGGTTCCCGAGACCCGTGGGTGCCCCTCTCTGCGAGTCACCCAGCGGGTCACGGCCAGGAGGAGGGCGTGGTGGCCCAGGAGGGTGGCCATCTACTGTGGGGCTGACGTGGGGCTGTATTTACGGTGGCTTCTGCTCAGTGGGAAACGTGGGGGTGGGACAGCGTGGAAGCAGGTGACCTGGTCCCCGTCCCTGTCCACAGGAGGCCCAAGGCCAGGAGCTCGGCCCCCGGTGCGGGGCTGGCGTGTGGGCGGGGCGGCCGCGACGGCGCCGCTCGCCCGGCCCTGCTGCTCTGGGCGCGGCGTTCCCGCCGTGAATGCTGTGGGCCGGGGGCGAGCCCACACCGACGCTGCCCACGCTCTCGCACGCTCTCACATGTGCTCACACACTCACACATGCTTATACTCTAACATGCTCACACACGCTCTCACACATGCACATGCTCTAACATCTCACACATGCTTGCACACTCACACATGTTTGCCCTCACACATACACACTCACACATGTTCACACACATGCTCACACTCACAGGCTCTCACACAGGCTCACACACTCACACATGCTTGCCCTCTCACACATACACGCTCACACAGGCTCACACATGCACGCTCACCTACACGCTTACACCTGTTCACACACAGGCTCACACGATCACGCAGCCCTCGCACTGAATCACGCACACATTCTGCACACCCACATACTCATGCTCTCAGAGGCTCGTGTGTGCACACTTGCTCACAGTCCTGCACACATGCGTGCCCACACGCCGTCCCACACGCTCTCACGTGCACAACCCCCTCCCCCCAATGCACACGTGTCTCCAGAAGCACAGCTGGAGGCGGTGAGGGCAGGAGCCGGGGGCGACTTCTGCCGAAACCCTCGTCCCCGGGGGGCGTGCTGCCCACACAGCACCCTGCGTGCAGGGGCGGGTCGCCGGGCGGAGGAGGGAGGGCGGAGGCGGGGCGCGGTGCTGGGGCCCACCGGAGCGCAGGGTGGGCTGGGGGGCGCGGGAGGTGGCCGGGTGGGGCGCGGGGTCGGTGTGCACGGGCCAGGTTTCCGGTCGCCGTGTGGAAAACAGTGGCGACGACAGGGGGCCTTGGACAGCGGTGTGGAGTGACTTTTTTCAGAGGGCGAGCCCCCGCCTCTTCGGGGTCGCGCCCGCCTGTGCTGATGCTGGGCGGCTCCTGGACCCCTCCCCCGCGCATCCGAGTGCGTTGGTCTCGTGTCGGGTTGAGCAGGAACAAGTCTCTGTGACCAGACCAGAGCAGGCACAGAAGAATAACGTGTCCCCTCAGCCCGGCTCGTCCTGTCGAAGTCGATGACCAGCCCCATGTTTATCTCGCTGGACTGGGCTGTGTCGCCTTCCGTGCATTTCACACTGAGTCCTTGCGCTTTTAAACACCGGCTTCGCTTCTTTCTCGTGGAGGTCTCTGTGCTCCTCCCCACCCACCCCCACCCCCACGCCCTGCCGTGCTCCACACGCTGGGTTAGACCGGCTGCGTCGCCCACGGTGGGCTCTGCGTCAGCACCCCTCCCCCCTGGAGCTGCACAAGCCCAGCCCCCTCCCTCGGACTAGCTGTCTTTCCCGCCCCGTCCGAGTGCAGAGGGCTGGCCGTCTGGGCACCGAACGAGGCACGGTGACACCGGAGAGGCAAAGTCAGCGGTCTTGCTGAGGGACATGGAGACCCCTGTCCCCGAGAGAGACGGCCCCTGGCAGGCGGAGGGTTCCACGTTATCTTGGGGACCTCGTGTTCAGGGTGCATATCACGAGGCGACACACGTCAAGATGAAACGGCCTGTGGCCCTAGGAGGATTGTGGGTAATGCAAGGGCGATGGGGGACGAGGGCAGGGTCTGTAGGACGGACGGACAGACAAACAGAGGACCTGGCCCCGACGAGATCGGTGGGTCTGCCTGCGCCTTCCGCTGTGGAGCCGAGAGGCCCCCGCCGCCCCTGCGGGCCACAGACGAACAGGAAGGTGGCGCATTCGCAGGGGGCTCTGCAGGCGGGCGGACGGACACGCAGGTGGAACAGACACAGGGCCACGGGCTGAGCCTCTGTCCCTTCAGACCTGGTCTCCACCAGGACGGAACCTGCCGGTGCCCTGACCTCGAGCTCCGGCCTCAGGGCCGTGGGGCATCGGCGTCTCGCTTGTGAGCCGGCCGGCGGGCTGGGGGCCGTGTCCCAGGGGCTGGGACAGACTGTGACGGAGACCTGGGCGCGCCCCTGGTTCCTGGTGACAGGCCCGAGGCCCCGCGGCCCAGGTCCGCTGTGAAACTGCATCCGCGAGGGGACTCCCCTTCGTTCCTGAGGCTGCGCATTCCCCACCAACGTGGGCGGGCCTCCTTGGCCAGCTTTGTGGAAAAGGGGGGAGTTCTCCGTGACGTGTCCCCACCCAGCCAGGGGCCCGTGGCGGTGGTGCAGTGGTTACGGCGACCCAGGGTGCTGGGGCCGGGCAGGGAGGCGCACCCCCATGTCTGCACCTTGGTGGCACCCTCCGCAGGGACGTGCCTCTGCCCACCGAGGCCCGCGGCCTCCACCACGGACCACCACTCGGCCGCTCTGCGGGCGGGAGGGCCAGACAGTTCAGGGACCACGATCACGCAGGGGGTGTGGGGAGCGCCCTGGGTCGTATTGGCCTGTGGCACAGCGGAGGGCTGGGGCGGGGGGCGTGGCTGCCAGGACGGGAGCACGAACACCTCGGTCTGGGGAATGACACGACACGGCTGGCGAGATGAGGAGGGCAGGTGCCGGGTGGGACCCCGCGGCTCCGAAGGGGGCGCTGCATCCGGGGGGCCGCTCACGGTGCCGCAGCCGGGCTGGCTGGGGCCCCGGTCCCCCACGCCCTCGGTGGCCGCAGGCCCCGTCTGGACAAGCCTGGCGGGTGCTGTCCAGAGCGGCAGGTGTGGGGCGAGCCTGGCACGGCCCGTGGAGCTGGCTGCGGCCCGTTGTCGCTGACCCCTGCTTGCTGGGCGCCGGCCCCTGTGAGCCGCAGGTGCAGCGCCGGGCTGGCAGTGACAGTCACGCCGCGGATCTGGGACAGTCCCCGCTCGGAGGTGCCAGGGCCCCGGACAAAGGGCTCTTCATGACTTCAGCACAGCGAGCGCCCCATTCCGCGCGGGCTGAGGGCCTGCGGAGGAACCCCCGGGGCGGGGGAGGTGGGGGCAGGCAGAAGGCAGTGCTGGGAGCAACGCTGACTCAGGCAGTGGCCGCCTGCGGTGCCCCGCCCAGCCGCACCCTCTGAAGGACCGGCCTGCAAGGCAGGGCCCCTTCCTGGGGCACCTGCTGTGCCCAGGGCCTGGCGGCTCCTGCTGGAAGTCATCCCCACTCTGCCACAGACGAGGGGACATTTGCCCGAATTTTAGAAAGAAGCGCCCAAATGTTTCAGGTGCAGCACAGAGCGAAGGGGCCGAAGCAGGTGCCGGGGAGCACATGGTGCCGGTCATGCCGGGACCCGCAGGCTGTGAGGTCACTGACCCCCCCGAATGTCCGGGGGCCCTCGGCCGTCGTGTGACTACTGAAAAAGGAAAACGCTGCAAAGAAATGCGTAGTTATGAGAATTCACAAAAAGCGTCATGATTGTTTTAAATTGCAGAATCCAGGTTCTGCGCTCTCCTCCCTGTCCTCCCGCCCCTTCTCTCCCTCACTCCCTCCCTCCTCTTCCTCTGCCCTCGCCTGAGCTCCCGTCCCCCCACTCACCCCGACACCGAGTGGGACCGTCCGGTCTCCAGTGTCAGGTTTTCCGCTTTGGTCATTCCCTCGGCAGCCCAGGGACACGCTGGAGGGTCGCGCCTGTTTAAGGGCCGGTCTCCAAATACAGCCGCTCTGAGGGGCTGGGGGTTAGGCCTCCACAGGAATTCTGGGGGGACATGGGCCAGCCCTTGACATCCATGGAGACAGATCAGTGCTTCCCGGGGGCCAGAGGGGGGCAGTGGGAGTGACTGGGGTGGGGGTGGGTGCTGGGGACCCTTTTCGGGCGCTGGAGGTGTTCTGACACTGACTGTGGTGCCGGCTGCACAGCCTCGAGCGGTTGCTGACAGACACAGGCTGACCCTTCAGGGGGCGAGCTCTGCGGCAGTGAACTCCATGGGGCCGGCCAGAAAGGCCGTGTGGGGTTTTTCCCTGCGATGGCTGCAGTAGCGCCTGGCTGTCTTTCACTTCACTCAAAACCAGTCTGTCGGACTGCATTGTGGCAGCTGTCATGTCAGGGTGCGTTAGAAAAACCACACTGGTGAATTTCTGCGTGGCCGTTTAAATAGTGACAACGGAAGAAAATACACAAGACTTTCAGCATATTATGCTTCCTTGTTTCAAGAGTGGTCAAAGCAAAGCTGAAATGTGAAAAAAGGGTTTGTGCTGTGTGCGGAGAAGGGGCGGTGACTGATCGCACGTGTCTGCGGTGGTTCGCAAGGTTCCGTGCTGGAGGTTCCCCACTGGGCGGTGCCCCACGGGCGGGCGGACCAGCTGGCGTTGTCGGCGATCGAACAGACAGACATTAGCTGAGAACAGTCCACGAGAATAGCTCTACCACGAGGGAGACAGCCGACACACCCAAGACATCCCAATCAATAAAGCTATGGGTGAAAATGAAAAACGCGTCTTTTATTTTATGGAAAAACCGGA